ATGTTGCTTTCAAAATACCTTCACTGGCCTAACATAAACACGAAACACACACTTGCAAAGACACACACGCACACTCCGGCACATACATCCATATATTTACAATAATAATTATGCAAATGCAAAGCCGTAATGTTGGCAAGATTTTTTTGGTCCCATTGTCTGTCCCAATCCCATCTGCATCACCCATCAGCAATCTTCCAGCTACCATCTCCTCTGGCTGGCATCAGCACTTGTCTCCACTTGGTTGATTTTATGTAAACAAAATGACGTACGCCTTGAGGTTTTTAGGTTTATGCAGGATACCTGCGCCTTCAAATTCGGCTGCAAATTTCTTATGCCTGGCAACGGAAAAGAACTGAAGCCAAAGCGAATAGAAGAAGTAGAAGCCACCGCAGCAAAGGCAAACAGAAGGAAACCAAACCAAAAACTGAGCAGCGCAAATCTCTCGGCTCGCGGGCAAATGCGCATAACTCGTTTGAGCAGTGTGCTGGAGGAGCAGGACGAAGCTGAGGATGGGAATGGGAACGGCAATGGGATTGGGTATGGTAATGGAAAGGGCAATTGGGGCGGAGTGCGGATGGGGCCTGAAGAAGATGAGGATGTCATTTCTGGCCAGGAAACGGCTGCCTCCTGTTAGCTGCCGCCAGCTGCCTCGTTAGCGGCTAAAATTTTCCCATTTTCTGCGAGCGAATTTTTTGTTTTTCTGTTTTTCAGTTTTTCTGCGCCGGCTTAGTTTTATGTCTTCTAACTAACCGAATTGTCGAAAATGAGATTACATAAGTAAATTCTGCAGGCAGCTGCGATTTAAAACTGTGCGCTGTCAGATCTATTATCTGCTGTGCGTCCATTGCCATAGCCAAAGCACCCCTCGACACGGACCCGCCCCATTAAAGTGCCCCTCCGCACTGGTTGTTTGTCGCCCACACAAAGCCAAACAGCATTCAAATGGGGAAACCTTTTAAGCACCTAAAACGAAAACTGGGTTACCACTGAAATTCACATGAGTGCACCAAAACGCCAGAGCGCCAGAATGGCGAACGCGCAGGAACAGCTGGAATAGAACGATAAAAAGGCTGTGGGCCGGTGCAGCGTTAAAGGTGGGGGGCGTAAAGGGTATAGGGGACTGCATCTAGCCAAATACAAGTAAAGTGCATAAAGCTGTTTGTTCTTTGTCTGTGTGAGAGTGTGTGTGTGTGTGTGTGTGTGTGCCACGCGGTTTTTAGATGTATTTTAAAAGATTTAGCACACTTCCACAGGGCGCCAAAAACTGCTGGACACAAGCTGCAACACACAGAGGAAACCCGAGAGTGAGTGAGAGACAGAGAGAGAGAGGGGGGACAAACTCAACCGAGCGACAAGCCAAGCTGAAGGGGCAGACCACCAGACCAGCAGGAGGGGGCAGAACCGCGAGCAGCAGGACAGTGACAACCGCAGATAAACTGCAGGCACGGTTCGACTTCGGTTGCCTGGACACCGCAGCCAAAGGGAATGGCCGGAGGCGGGCCAGTGAATAGGGGTACCGGGGGCGTCAAGCAAATGTGAAACAATTCCGCTAATTGCAAAAAATGCAGGAGAGAGCGAGCGCGAGATAGAGATAGAGAGAGAGAGAGAGGGGGGAGGCAGGGCGTGGGAGTTGCGATTTGAGTCAAGTGCGACGCTTTGCTAACCGCATGAAGAGGCGTCGAGGCGCTACACTGTAAAAAAAATAAAGCCAACAATGTGTAAGAATATAATAAAAAACAAAATGAAAGCAAAGCGTGGCACAGCAAGGGCAAATGCAAGCGGGCAGCTGTGTGTGTGGCACACAGAAAAGTGTGCAACGCTCCTCATACAACCCTCCCCCGAGAGCAGCAGCCTCGCCCGCAAACCAGGCGACCAGCACAAACCTAAGCTAACTTTTACTTAATTTGACTTTTCTCTGCTGATTTAATTTGGACGACGTCGACGCTGGCAATGGCAACAACGACGCTACGTTTTTCACATTTCCACGTGCTTCAGCGCAGATTTTCTTGCAATTTAATTAATTTAATTTGGTTTTGGCTTTGGCTTTGGCGTTGGCTTTGGCTTTGGCAAATGGAAATGCTTTCCACAAGGGGCACTGCAAAACGAGCGCGTTGCACGTTGCAAGTTGCACGTTGCACGTTGCACGTTCCCTGGTCATTTCAGTTCACTCGCCTGCAGCGTACAGCTAGCTCCATGGCTCAAGGCTTACAGTTCGCTGCTCGCTCCTCGCTCCTCGCTTCTCGCTTCCCGCTGCACGCTTGTCGCTTCTCGAGTGTTGTATTTCTCGCACGCTTTTAATTAAGCGCCGCTTGCCGCAGTGTGTACCACACTTTTATTCCATCTCTCCCTCTATGTGTGTGTGTGTGTGTGTGTGTGTGTGTGTACAATGCATTATGTGTGTTTTGTTTATATGCTGCTTCCGCTGCTGCTATCACTGCTGTTGTGGCAATGCTTGAAATGGCCAGCTGAATGCGTTGATATTGCTACTTATAATGTTCTTTAATATTCCAATTAAGAATCAAAAGCACAAAGGGCGCTCAGCGATAAAGAAAACCTTTTTTATGCAATATGCAACATATATATATCAAGGCTGCAGATCAAACAACAATTGTCAATAATTCTTCCTGCCATGACGCCCGGAGCATGAACCTGGTTTCCACATTTGTGAATTCAGCCTTTGGTTAATATATTTGCACCATTTTAATTTAACAATTAAATTTTTTAATTACAAGTGTCCATTCAATTGTTAACATTGCACTTTGCATTTAATTTCGTATGGAAGTTACATCAACCAAGTTTGGGTAAATAAATGAGTCCATGCTCTGAGCTTGATAAACTTTCGAAAAGTTTTTAGAAACAAACCATTTTCAATGATTTGTCTGTTTTTTGAGCAACTGCTTGGCTTTCAGGTTCGGTTAATAAAAATAAATATTGTTATTATATATAAATATTTTATGCCCCTAACTCTTATCCGTTTCTATTTATATGCCTTTTATTTATTGTCATTTCTTTATAGCAGAAGACTTTCTTAACAAGTGTAGGGTTCGAATATTTTGAATACTTTCTTTAGCTTCGATTAAGTTAGAATCTTAATGCTTAGGCCGAAATTCGTTCCGTTGTGTATTCGCTTATCCGTCATGGTTTCAGCTTGTGTGTGCCTCGAATGAATTTCTCTTGCCTGATTTATGATAACCTATCAGATTTAATAACTTTTAAATGTTTGATCGACGACAATTAAAGCCTTGAAGAGAATAGTCAACAATAAAGTAAATAGGGAAATTACAGTTATAGGCCACCAGGCCTAATTAGGCAAATAATGAGCATGAGAGAACTCCCAGGAAACGCTTTTAAGGCGATTTCGGACAGTCGCTAAACAATTGGAGATATCGTAAAACGCAGGAGTCGCCATGGGGGGCGGAAGGGCAAGGAGTGGGCATGACCATGGACCCCGGCTGATTAATGGAGCACCTATTGTCATTAAGCCTCTCGACTGCCGTTAGCTAAATAGCCAATGTAAAATGCTGGCCACAAAGCAAAAGAGAGAGAGAGGGAAAAAATACGCGCAGCCAAAAAGCGAAACCAATCTAAGGCTTCATGTCAGAGAAAGAGAGAGAGAAAATAAAAAAACCGAAACATAACCAACCAGCTGATGATATGGAGATGATGATAATGATGATAGTTGCGACGGGCAAGTTTGGGGCATTCGATTCGACTGCGCGCCGACTAACAAGGATAATTGCAAAAGGAAGTAACAATAAACTGAATGCCATCGAATCGTATCCAGTAATAGTCACAGCTATCAGCCACATGGACTCTGTCTGTGCGGGGCCTCAAAACAAAGGCCAGTTCAGTAGCTGGCAGTGGCGCATACCCAGACCCAGACCCGGACGCGGACGCGGACACGGACACGGACCCGGACACAGATACGAACCGAACCGATCCGGGTACCCTGTCTGGGGGCTAAAAGCAAGCAAAATGTTTGCGAGAGCGCGCAATCAGCGTAAAGTGCGCGACGCTTTGTAAGTGAAACGATAAAAAAAAAAACTGCTGTGGGTGGGCGAGTGGAGGGGTGGCAGTCGGGAGGTTCGGAACTGGGCTTCAGAGCAGAGCGAGCGAAACGCAGGCGAGCCCAATGCCGAGAATATAATAAAATGTCGTTTATTGGCGGAATGGGGGCGAATGAGGGCGATTGTTTTCAGGTTTTCCCTTTTACCAATGCCAATGCCTAGCTCCCACATTTTCTGAGCCAGCCCCCCGTCTGCCCGTCCATGCAGCTGCTGCTCTGGCTGTGACTAAGACTGCGACCAAGACTCTATCTGGCAAGAGCGTAGCTCAGCAGCCCACAGCCAATGCAATCAGCCACTCAGCAGTGCCACGGAGTAGAGTATTCTCAATTAGTAAATTAAAGGTTTCCACTGAGAATAGTTGTACTCAAAGCAGATCTCGTTTTAGCACTCGATTTGTAATAAATGCACAATTATAAATTGTGTGTAACAGTCGGATGAATTACTGCTGCCATTAAAATTCTATACACAGCACGTTCAGAGCTCGCTCTGAGGTGCAAACCTGTGAGCTTTAAGTGGACAGAATTGTGATTTGATGGCATCAAGTTATCATCATTTAAATAAAGCAAATCAATATAAGTATGCAATTTATTTTTCACAGATTAAAGCGACTTAAATTTGCCGATCTAAAGACAAAATTCGGAGTGGAGATATGTCGCTTAAAGACGACCTAACTTGCCAAGATCAAGGAGGAGAGGTTAACGTTCGGAAACGATATAGTTCCGCGCGTTATAATTTCGCCAGAAAATAAGCGACAGAATTCCGCCGGCAAAATGAACAAGGCGGAGATATGTCTGTTGAATTTATCTGTTATTTGAAAAGCTCAGAGATATGTTTCCATTATTGGTTTCTTATATCCAATGCTCGACCATTTCATGGAGACAGGCTGTGAGAGTGGAGTTTAGACTGGAAATTGGGTTCACTTTGCGAAAATTTCTGCTTCATTTTATGATTTTTAATTGAAATTCGCTTGGAGCTAAATATATGTTACACAACAAATCGATTTGGAAAAGTAAAAATAACAACAAATAGGGTAAAATTTACAAATTCAGTTGGCGTCTTTGCGTATTGGAAATTGTGAGTGTATCGCTTGCTGCCGCTGCTGTTGCTGACTAAAACTGGAATTTCAGGATTCCGTTGATTTTTGATTGATTGATTGACTGATAGGGATTGATGGCTAGAATTTGTAACGTTTGTCAGAAGTTAGTGTGCATACAAATACAACAGCTACAGCTGTCTGTTGGCTTTTTCAAGGGAATATACGCTCGGTGGCACCATCCAAATTCCAATTCTCCCGGGAGAGCAGTATGCGCGCCTCGTGCTCGTCGAGGCCCAATTCCATGAGGCATAGAACCTTCGTGTCGCAATCGGGAAAGACATGCGGTCCGCCTGCGTAAACGTTTGTCCAGTGCTTGGCCGTCACCTGGAATACGTCTGGCTTGGCCTTGAACTGGTAGGCGATGCACACATCCTGCGGATCATCTGGCTGGGCGGCGGAGAGCAGCGCCTGGAGCGAGAGCAGCACCGTGCGCAAAGTCATCGCGGCAGCCCAATTGTCCTTCAGTATGTCCCGGCAGATGACACCCGACGCGGCCGAAATGTTCGGATGCCAGATGCGTGTCGTGAAGCGTACCGTGGGCGGACTAAACGGATATGTGTCCGGCACCTTGATCTCCAGTGCAAACCTGCCGCCCTCGTAGGGTGTGTCGCGCGGACCCTTTATCTCGCCGCGCAAGTTCGTCCAGTTGTCGTTGATGACTTCGAGCTTGATCATGCCCTGGACAAAATCGTCGCCCCGCATGACCTCCTTCAGTTCGCGCTTGATGCGCAATATCGACATGTTTGCCATTCTCCGACTTTGTTTGGATCTGGTTGCAAGTGTAGAATATTTCTAGTGTGTTTGCGCGGCTGATTGGGTGCTGCTTATGCTAGGGTTTTGCTCTTTCTCTAGCTCTTTTTTTTTTTTATATATGTGAGGTAAATGTTCTTGTATAACGCGTGTTATTTAAGGCTTGAGGAACATTTGTTTATGTTGGTTTTAAAAAATTTTATTGAAATGTTTTTGAAAGAATTATAACTAAGCAGCACACAAAAAAAGCTAAACCCTTAATAAACTGACGAACAAAACAGATGCTTACTTGTATACAACCAAAAAACAGGACTAAAGGACTAAAAAACGGCGCATAAAAGTACACGAAAACGGCGAAGTTAGTTATTCGAATGCATACTGGCCGACAGTTCGACCTCTTTTTGCTTCAAGAAAATTCCAATAATTACGTCCCAAGCTGTCTTCCTTTCAGTTACGCACTTGCTGTCCCTTGTCAGCTACCTAACTGCGCTTACCTGTTGCCGACGCTCATTAGAAAGGCGCTGACGTGGTCATAACACTATATTATTTTTAAGATGCTAGCGAAATAGGTTGATGAAAAGAATTTATCTATTTTTTGCTAGCTGCTAGCTGTTTAGATGAGTGACTTATTTATGACACGAAATGAAGGGAATTTGAATGCGCCAAGACTAAATAAAAAATAGTGGACTTTAGCACTACGTAATACTGAAATAATTTCGATGTGCATTCAATTGTCTGGGCAATAAGCAACCAAATGTGTGCAAGTGCCGAAGCCCATGACAATACTTCTCAGCCTTTTTATTACCATATTTGCTTATGCTTATGCTGAAGCGCACATTTTTAAGGAGCATAATTATGTTGTCTAAAGTAGAAATTTTTATTAAAACGATCCCAATTTAAAGAAGTGGAAATATGCATTTTACTGCTTGAAAGACCCAACAGATAGAATGTGAACGAAGTACTCTCTCTGCAAAATGTCAACTATCTCATCGATAAGCTAGCATCTAAAAGTGCCCATCTTCAAATGTACTTTTTAAGCTGATAGGAATATATTAACAAGAGAACTTTCAATTCTATTTTTATACATATTGATAATAACTTTCAATCCAGAGCTTCATTTAGTTTTGAATCAAGGCTGCAAACCCATAAGCTCCGGTTCGGATCACAGTTCGAACCAACTCCCTGCATTGAACCAAGTTCAAGCCTTGGCTTGTCATATATATTTGAAATTTTAATGAAATGATTTCTCTTTTTTTTTTTGAGGTTTCACAGTGTTCTTCATAGTAAAAACACCCTGAAACTCTATGGAAACACCTTTCGAGTTTTATCAATAATCATGAAAACAATGACACGAGCCTGACAAAACAGCTCAAAATTAACAGATAAATGTGGATTTTAAAATGTTCACTTCAACAATGAGGCGCCGCCATAAGTAGAAAGGATAAGAATAACAAGGTATGACATAATTTCCTTATCTAAGATAAGATAAGATTAGATAAGAATATATAAGTATAAAATGGAGCGAGTGAAATGTAATTTAGCTGTAAGTCGAATTTAACTGCTTGTCAACCAAAAAGAACTTTGACATAAACACGGCCAAAATGAGGCATAAAGTGTGTGCAAGTTGGGGGAGGAACATTGCCTAGCAAATTGGAGCCAAGCCAATGGAGTATTGTTTTGTGGCTGGTGACAAATACGCTGCTAGGCAGAAGCGTTCAACAACACACAACTAACACACATACACACACACTGACACTGACACTGTGGGACATAAATTTGCTGCGGCATTGCTCACGGTGAAACACACCCAATCACTTGTTACACGCTCGAGTTTCTCTTTCCCTTTATATTGCGTTTTGTCAGGCTTGTTTTCTTTTTGTCTCCCTCGTTCTGCTTGTATGTTGACTCGCTATTTCTCGTAACTCGTATCTCGTATATCTTGACAACTGGCGCACTGTGCGTATGCGTATTTTTAATTACTAGCCGAGGCATTGTTCATACGCTGCGTGTGACAAATCAACAGGATATGCTGGCGGGGAGCCATGTCTTATTGCTGTCACGGCCATTTGTTGCGTGCCAACCACCCCCCACCACACACAGCAACACACTGGTTACCCGTACCCCACACCCCCACAGCCCCACAGCCCCACACCGCGCAGCACGCACTCCTCCCTGGGCCCATTAAGCGCCGAGAAACGCCATTTTTGCTGCTGTTATTGTTGGCCCCGTTTTCATGCACATTTATCGTGATTAGCTATTAATTGATAATAATTAACTTAAGCACATGCCATAGATGTTTGCCTCAGCAGCAGCAGCAGCAACAACAACAACTAAAAGCCATATTAACAGCATTTGCGTTTGGAGATTTGCTGCCTGGCTGCGGCCGCCAATTGATATGAACATTTGTTATTGCCGCCTCTACTTAATTTCTTCCTACTCCCGACTACGCAAACGCCCATCCACACCCACTTCTGGAGCCTCCTTTTGTTTTGTTTGCATTAGCATATTGTAAGCAATAAGAAATATTTTTCATTTATTTAATTTACATTTCTTTAGGCTCCACTTTAACTCCTCACGCTGTGACTTTCACCACCAGCTATGGCAATAATTGTATTACCGAATGCCAAGCTTGTGAAAATTGTTAACTTACTTTTGGATAAGTAAAATAACTAACTATTTTATTACAAGAGATTAGTAGTATTGTAGATTTTGACGGTTCTAATACGCTCTTTAATATAAGATTTAAACGAGTCAAAAGAGGTAGCCATATAACATATTCAAATTGAATAGAATAATATTAATAATATTTATATTTTTTTAGATTTAATTATTTGTATTATTATACGTTTAATTATTATTAGCATTATTATTAGTAATATTATTAAAATTATCAATGATAAATAATTTTATATATTATAATTCAATTTTATCTGTATTATTATTATTTGAATTATAATTAATGTTATTTATATTTTATTATTAATATTACTAGCACTTTTTTTATTATTAATAATAATGTTTATATTATTATACTTGTCAAACCAATATAATGTATATTTTATTATAAAAAAATAAAAAATAACAATTCTAATCAACTTTATTTTGTGTTTTTTTTTTAATTGCATCAAAAAATACACACTGCTGTTTGCAACATATTTATTAGACATATTAAACATTCAATATATAGGATATATAAAAACCATAAAAATCATTCAATCATTCAAACATTAATACTTACATTGCGCGCCTTGGAATTTACTTCAAATCTGAATCGATCTCCGAGCTTCCATTACCTTCGCACACATTTCAATGCTGGCTTATAGGTACGATTTTTGCCATATATTTCTTATGATTATCAAATACTCACTTATTAACACTTATTTATATACAAAAAAAAATATAAAAAAAAAAAAAAAAAATCAACTAACACAAAGCGCGAGTTTGAAACCAGAGAAAAAAAAGTTTATAATTGCCGACGGGTATTTAGAAAACTTAATTATTTTGTTATATACTGTGCACGCAGCTTGTGATGGAATTGATTGTGATTTTGCTTTGATTGATGAAATGTCGAATTTTGTAACGATTTTCCGAAACACTTTTGAATATGGTTTTTGAATTTGGATCTGTCAATGGAGTTTTTTCTGGATTATTTTTTTTTTTATTAGTTTTTGTTGAGGTTTTTTTTCTATTTTTTTTTTGGATTTTTGTAGTTGAGATTTTTTTTGGCTGATAGTTCTGTTTATAGTTCTGTTGTTTATTGCGGCGATTGTGAGTTTGTGATGTCTGCTTGATTTGATGGCTGGTTGGTTGCTGCTGCGTGCTCCGTGCGGCACGTGCGAACACGTTCAGATTTCATAACCAACTGTCGAGTCTGGCTGGCCAAATGGCCGACAGGAGCCGCGACTGCCGACAGCTGCCGAGCCGAGTGCTGTGCCCGATTGGTGCGATGCCAACTCGAAAAGCTTTTCGAATTACCATCGGCCGATTTGCTCTCTCTTAAAAGATGCCGCCAACAACAACAGAAACAACAGCACGACTCGAGTAAAAGTAGCAACAATTTGAACAGGAACAAGAACAACAACAAAGAGCTACCCTTGGGCTTGACAGACTTCTGGGCGCTGTTGCTGTTGCGCCTTGGACAGGTCAGCATTGTCAACAACTTTGGGCCATTGGCTGATAAGCGAATCGCCTGCGCTCTCTTAAACTGCACCCACCAGCAGGCTCTTTCTCTCTCTCTCTCTCTCTCGCTCTCTCTCCCTATCTCTTTCCCTCTTCCTCAGCCTGTCACGCTCTGTTTCATGGCTAACGCTCTCTTTTGGCCCGAGTCGTAGCACACTTCTGGAAGAGTGGCAACTCTTGTAGCACTTTAAGTGAAACGCGTATTAAAGCGAATGGCGTTGCGCGCTGCCAGTTGGCGGCACTTGTGGCAAGAATGCCTCAAGTGTTGCACAGGCATAAAACTTTGACCATTAGTCGCATTAATGTGCCGCGCAGCAAATTCGTCAGCTGGTCAGTGGTGCATTGATTGTGTGGTGCCACCGCAAGGCGTTTCGTGTGGCTTATCGCAACTTCTATTGCCAACTTTTCCGCTGCCAACTCCAAGGTTCCACATTCCGAATTCCCAGTGTTCATTCACAATTCACCATTTTTTATTGTCCACTCGGATTTCAACTCCAAGACAAAGTGTGCCGTGTACCACGGTGGGCATTTCTATATTGTATTACGCTTTGCATTTAAGTACGATTTATGCAGTTTTTATACCCGCTCGTGCCAAAGCAGAAATGAACATTGGCAAATGCATTTCCATTATTATTATTCATAATTAATATTTATGCACTATATTACTAAGTAGAAAATCAGGAAGGTTAAAAAATATTTAACTCGCAATATTCTTTATAAATACAAATGTGCGCACGCAATTTCGCCAACGGAAATACCTAATTTATGGAGATAACAACTTATCCATATAAATATGCAAAATAGCACAGAGTTCACAGTAGTATGTATGTATGTATAATAATAAAAATAGACACAGAAATTGAAGATAAATCCCCAATTCAAAACAAGTATTCCAAGAACTTTTCAAACTCCAAGATAAATATTATCAGTTGAATATATATATATATGCATGAATATTTTGTGGAGGACCTCCACTGCACACGGGCTGCTAATAGCTCAAAATAAACTCTCAGAACAGCAAACATTAGAGACCCGAATCTGCGAGCAAGCGCGCAGCCACAGCCGCAGCCGCACCCAAGTCCAAGTGCGATGCCAAGTGTGACCCTTCCGCACGTATAACTTTAAGTGATTGTTTTAGGATTTGCATGCCAACTGTGACACACACACACACACGCACACTCGCACCATAACTTAAGGAAAACAGGTGCTGCCAACACAATGAAAGGACTTGGGCAGGCCAGCTCGTGGGCGATTCGAAACGCAGCCGGCAGCAGGGGCAGCCAGCTAAAGGCAGCCTCCTGCTATTAGCTTGGCGGAATGCAAAAATTTATGCGCCGTACTTGAGGCCGTAAGTGCTGTCAACAAGCGCTGCACGACCCAAGACCAAGCCCCTTCCCCTCTGCCACCTTGTTGCCCATACAAGCGCTGACCGTCAGCTATTGCCGCCGGAGACGCGAGTGACACATGTTACTCCAAGTGCTCCGGCGGGGCCCGCAGCCAGCGCTGGCACTCATGTGGCAAGGAGCTGGGAGCCACAATGACATATTGTATCCACAGGCGGACGTGCCTTGTGTGCCAACTAAGAAAGTTTTCTTGCCCTCTCCCCCACACACACCCGCACAGACACCCCCGTCCATAATAGCCTGCTGTTGTTGTTGTTGTTATTGTTGTTGTTGTTCTCGGTGTCACTTGGCTTGTTTACGGCCGCGTCCGTCGCACGTTGCTGGGGCGTGGACTTTGGTTTCGGTTTTTATGCGGCTCACACACATAAATTATACGAAAGACATATTAGTTGGTTGATTTTGATAGTGGCCAAACTTCTGCTAAGCAGTAAAAACTGAGCCCAAAAGCGAATCAGATGATGAGACCCCCCACCCCCCTCTCGCCCATTGGCTGGAGTTGGGGCTGTGAGAATTGCAGGTAAGCCAGCTGCAATTTGTGTCAGGCTAACTGCAGTAGGAGTGCACACAATCCTTATGAAATCCTACTGCCCTTGCGCATACTCATAAGTTCTAATGCAATCGGACTTGGACTTGGCCGCAAATTACACAAATCACATTTAAGTTGCGGTCCGGAACTTTTGGCCACTGCACTGGCCAGTGTGCACAGAATCAATAAATTAAGCCCTGCTACCCCAAGGGGACATCATATTTCTATGCCCGGGGCTGGGCTCAGATTGTTGGCAGGGGGCTTGAAGCAGAGTTTTGACCCGCCCGGGAGCGAAAAGTTTCAATAGGTCGCCCAGACAGACGGACGGACAGACAGAAACACATCGCTGGCAGCGACCTTGAAAGCGCACATTTAACCCACTAGCAATTCTCTATCTCTCCCCCCCCCCCCCCCCCTCTCTCACTCTCTCTCGATCTCTCTTGGCCGCAGCTGCTCTGCGCCTGGCATTGTCATTGTGCATCCTACAATTCGCACAAGTTTGGCACATTTGTCACTTCGGACATGGCGACAAAAAAATGTACCCAAACAACAACAACAACAACAATTAAGAAAGCTCTCCTGACCAGCAGATACCCTGCGCCGAGAAGTAAACGGAATCTAAATTTACTATGCGAGAGCCTACATCCCTAATTTGATATCACGAGCTTCAAGATAGAGTCAAAAGAGCAAATCAGAAAATCGATATACATATATCGATTTCGTAAAAACAGTGTGAGCTTCCGATCATCTGCAAGGAACTTAATGTTGGATCCAAGAGCGGACAGACAGATTGACAGGCAGACGGACGGATATGGCTAGATCGACTAGGCTATTGATGGTGCACAAAAGTATTGAAGCTTTCGTACACTCTTCTTTACCCGTATTTAATTTAAGGGTGCAGGGTATACAAACACTGCAGACTGAGTGCAATGAAATGTTGCAGACAACCCACACACGCACACACGCAAACGCACACACGCACACGCACACACTGAAATCACAGTCTTTCCACGTGTCGCACACCTCACCCTCAGCTCCTTTATCGCTCAATGTTAATAACTGCCACGGTCCAGCAGGAAGAGAAACAGAAGAACGGGCGGTAAAGAGGGAGGCGGAGGCGGCTTCTATTGGAGTGGATGGTGTTAGCCGGCAGAGGTAAGGGTGCGGGCGGATTGTTACAGCCATGCCATTAGTTCACCGCATTTTATAGCTTTGGTCTCGCTCGCATATGTGCAGCGTTATCTGCGCTGGCAAAACGGCTCCTCCGGCTCTCACACGCCCACGGGTCTCTCAATGGGCGTGTCAAAAGGTGCGTCGTCCCAACACGCCAACACAACAGGCAGCGGCAATAGCAGGTGTGACAGGTAGGAAGGGTTAACATGTGTGTGTATATGGCAGGACATCTTGCTGTTGTTGTTGTTGCTGCTGCTGCTGTTGTGCGTGCGCCAAGCAGAGGCCCAACTTTTTCTGGCAACTACAATAATTTAGTATAGTTCAAAAAAGTTCCACACCTGTCTACATCCGCATATTCGCACTGGCATCCACATGGCCACACATTCGCATCCGCATCCACATGTGTGTGTCTAAAGTTTATTGGTAAAATTTTATTGCAGATTTTTGCGCTATACCAGCCAGACTATCCATTTTTGTGTGTGTGGCAAGCCCACAGACTGAAACCACGTCCTCAATACCCAATCTGCGTCCCGGCTACCGTTTTTGTGCGTCGTTGTCCTTGTCCTGGATCTGGGTATGGGTGTGGGTCTGGGGAGTCGTGCCTCCTGCCTGCCGGGTCCCGAATTCTCGCTCGGCAGCGTCTTGTGAAAATATTTGGAAAAACTTTTGCAATTTATCTGTTTCATAGCCAGCGACGAAAAACGCAACGCCAAGGCCTTGTCCAAGTATCTTTAGCATCGCCTCAGCCCACCTCCACCTGTCGCTGCCAGGCTGTGGCACAAGCGCAGCTCCTTGCAACACGCACACATCGACCGAAAATATATGTACATATGTAGCATATAAAAGAAAAAGGGTAAGACCAAAACGAGCGCCGCATGGAAAACCAATTGCAAAATGAATCGAGTTAAAGTAATTTGGCAGTAGACTGGACTCACCCCTTGACCCTGCCCCCAAGCGGCACCTGCAGCCGGCCAGCGTACAGATGGCCACATATTGATAGGCAAGGGCTATGGACAAGGCGCAGCACGGCATCCGCTCTCAATCTAGATTGATCTGTGGCCGGAGATCGACCTGTCGAATTTGGCTTT